TTTTTCACAATAAATGCAAGGGCTATGAGGCTTATTTTGCCAAGGTCTTTGTAATAATTGTCAGCTGAAGCTTCATGAACGTTTACATTCATTGTCATTGTCATAAAATACCATGGTGGTGAAGAGACTTTATATTTTTCTTTAGATTGTCATCGGAAGACAGTGAAGAAACATCTTTCTATTTGTATGACAGTGACGACTCTGGGGAATTAGCCAAAACGTCTGTTCCTCCTGGAGAAATGGACCTGCTGGGAGAGATTTTGGATACACTGAGTACACATAGTTCTGATCAAGGGAAGCTCTCAGGGGCAAAAAGCCTGGACTTTTTTCGATCGATGGATGACATTGACTACAAGTCAAAGGTTAGTTGCTTTATCTTGTCTCTGTGTTAAATCTGAAATAACTTCTATGTAGTGTTGGCTTTTATGGCTGGTATACCTTTCTGCTTTTTTTACCCCTTCTGCTCTCTAACCCCTTATAAGCCACCTAGAGTTGTTGATCAACAGGTCAAAAATTTAAACTATATATATAACCTTCAGGTAGATAGATTTATATATATGAAATCTTCAAGAAAAGCTGCCTATCAGTTGATCACCTTGTTTCTCTAAATTCCTGGGTCACCCTGATACGATTTATTTGCACAAATTATTAGCTGATAAATATAATTTTATTTCTTTAAAGGTTACACAGTTACATTGTGTGTAAATTCTGCTTACAGATAGTTAAGTAGTTGTCAATTACTGTAAGAAATTTAGTACTTTGTTTTGATATAGTCCAGGTCAGCAATAAAATAATTTGTTCCTCCATTCATTAAATCATGTATAGCTTGTAATCATTCCATTTTTCCTGTCAGATGCACCTAATTTGGATTTCATGCATGGATTTTCAGCTCTATATTCCTTGTCGTATCATGCAATCCATTCTAACATTTGCTGCAAAAATATATATATTTCTTAGCTGACAGAGCATTGTTTACAATGTACATGTATACATTGTATATACATACTACAGATACACACATATCCTCAACTAGCATTCTTCTGTATTTATGACAAGCATACCTCATATAGTAATACATAATAATATTTAAAAACCAAGATGG